TGCTCTACTTTAAAATCCGTATTTCATCCCAGAATCATCTCACATGATACAGAAAAGAAGAACAGCAAATACATAAATGGAAATATTTTCAAGTACTACCAGGGAAGACTAGGAGCGTCAAGCCCAGGAAAGCCCCCAGGGCATGGACAGACATGTAGGCTACACTGGTATTAACAGGGCTTAGGTGAGTTCACTACTGAGAACCATCCACTTTTCTAAGCCAGTCTCTACATTCATCCAGCCAATTACCTGTTTGGATTTAAAATATCACATGACTGAATTTTTGGAATACAATCTACTTTTTAAGTTGGCTACTTCCTCTAAATCATAAACTAGTTAGTTTAACACAGCAAAGCCCAGCACTTTACAATGCATTCTTCCAGTAAATAGTGAACTTTCACTCTTATGTTCAGATCTCCTCCTAACTTTTCCAACTGTAGGAACTTCCAATTCCAGAATACACTGAATATACTTAGGCTACAATTAATAATTCCCCAGCTTACTACAGGAACTACCTTCCCAGAGAGATGTATTTGTTTGATTTGATAACCACCTGTCTGCTAACCACTGACGTGGTCATTTGAACCAAGTCAGTATTAAGCCTATGTATCACTTATGTGATGTGGAATCATGTAAAGGGATCCAAGGTCTCAGAACACCTGGCTGGACTGACACGTAGGGCTGTATGTGTTGGCTGGGGACAATGAAAAGACACATAATGAATGTGAGAGAAAAGGAACGGTGAGGTTTGAGATTGGGAAATGACCTAGATTAACAAAAGTATTATGTGCTTTTCAAATGGATTTAACATATTGAAAAATTTGTTTGATACTTTATCTGAGCTCCCATAGCACTGTAACTTTTCAATTACTATAATAAAAGGATGAAATTGAGCCTGGTGGTTTAAATCACATTTTCTGCTTCAAAACTAGCTGTTGAGGGCTTGGTCTCCTTATTTATAAAGTGAAGGTGTCCTTCACTTCCAGGATCCATTCCAACTCCAAAGGTAAAGTGGAAGGAAAGGCTTTTCATAAAGGTGTACTTGGGAGGGGGCAGGGGGTGAGGGGTCAAAGACATCAGTCAGGAAGACCTAGTTCTTGCCATTAGAACCTCTCAATCAAGCCTATGAAATTGAGCCTGGTGGTTTAAATCACATTTTCTGCTTCAAAACTAGCTGTTGAGGGCTTGGTCTCCTTATTTATAAAGTGAAGGTGTCCTTCACTTCCAGGATCCATTCCAACTCCAAAGGTAAAGTGGAAGGAAAGGCTTTTCATAAAGGTGTACTTGGGAGGGGGCAGGGGGTGAGGGGTCAAAGACATCAGTCAGGAAGACCTAGTTCTTGCCATTAGAACCTCTCAATCAAGCCTGTGTGTGTGTGTGTGTGTGTGTGTGTGTGTGTGTACATAATTAAATTTATTTAAATTGTAATAAATCTTATTTTAAATCTAAAATTTTAAATAAGCCTTTTAAATCTTATGGTTCATGTAATGAATAAAGCAGCATAACAGCTTAAGCCACCAATTTAAAGAATTCAGTAGAGCTGTCGGTATAGAACAAGGTAAATGGGCTCCAGAGTGGCTGATGTGCACAATTAAATCTATTTGCACTGGTTTTTTTCCCTTGTGGGAAAGAATTACTTAGTAAAGCACAGTGTTTAAGCACACAAACTCTGGAGCCAGACTGGCCTGGTTTGCATACCTATTGGCTGAGTGATCTGGGGCAAACCCATTACCTAACTGGAGCCTCAGTTTCCTCATCTGGAAAACGGGATTTATAATAAAACCTACTGCTAAGAGGATTTAATAAGTGAATGTAAGGCACTGAGAAACGTGCCTGGCACATGGGAGCATTACACAGGTTTCTGTTGTATAAGTCAAACAAATATAACCCCTCAACTGCTATCTTGTAACACTTTTTGACAGTGGGGCAGGATGGTTGCCACTGCAGAATGAAATTACCCAAATCCTAAAATTTAGAACTTCATTAGCCAATTAAAGGTACTTTGAAAAGTTGCCCTTAATGAAACAAGTGTTTCAAAGTCATTAAGGAAGCAAAACCTGTCCACTGAACAAACCATATGCCACTTAAGAGAACAAGTATTTCACTATTAATACTGGATTTCCAGAGGGAAATGCTGTTATTCACATTACCTCCAAGGCCCTCCACTCCCTTTCAGGGTGTTGGAATTGCTTTTCAAGGTTTAACATATGAATGAGAACATACATTTGCAATATAACCTGTATGTAGAGGGCACAAACAAAATAGTACATTTTACAGAAGCTAGCTCAATGTTTTCCATTTTATGAAATTTCAAACAGTTCAGGCAGTTTCTAAAACTGTTCTCCAACTGGAAGAGTTCTCAAAATTATCAGAACCTGGCGGCATGCAAAGGATCTTTCAGAGTGGACATGACTGGCCTGTCAGTGATCTCCCTGGAACCCGTGTGCCAGCCCCGCTCTGGCCAGAACACAGGCTGAGATATGCACAGCCAAGCCAGCTCTGAGTGCCACCGCGTCTGTGCCCTAATATGACCAAAGAAAGAGACAACCAACATTCCAGATATGCCGCTCTGCTGGGCCAGAACTTCTCATTCTTCCAAATGGCCACATCTAAGCTATTTATACTTTTTTGTCTTTTTTTTAAAGTATCATTGATATATAAGCTTATGAAGGTTTCACATGAACAACACAGTGGTTTCAACATTCACCCGTATTATCAAGTCCTCACGCCCACCCCATTGCAGTCACTGTCCATCAGCGTAGTAAGATGCTATAGTCGTTACTTGTCTTCTCCATGCTGTACTGCCTTCCCATGATCTACCTGCACTGTGAGTGACAATCATAATGCCCCTTAATCTCCTTCTCCCTCCCTTCCCGCCTGCCCTCCCACCCCCTTCCCTTTGGTAGCCACTAGTCCCTTCTTGGAGTCTGTGAGTCTGCTGCTGTTTTGTTTCTTCAGTTTTGGTTTGTTCTTATACTCCATAAATGAGTGAAATCATTTGGTACTTGTCTTTCTCCTGGCTTATTTCACTGAGCTAATACCCTCTAGCTCCATCCATGTTGTTGCAAATGGTAGGATTTGTTTTCTTCTTATGGCTGAATACTATTCCATTGTGTATATGCACCACATCTTCTTTATCCATTCATCTACTGATGGACACTTAGGCTGCTTCATATCTTGGCTACTACACATAGTCTAAGCTATTAATGAAAGTATAATTTATTCAGAGCCTAGTGGAAGAATTTCCAAATGTTCTCAACACAACAGAATATAAAACCTCATTAGAAGTCTAAAAGACAGTGTGTGTGTGTGTGTGTGTGTGTGTGTGTATACATACACACAATACATAACTACGATATATAACCCATGACTTAGAAAAATATTTTGAGTATGGTTAACACCAGAAACCATATGCAATATACTGGTTTGCTAACTGGACTGGTATCACAGGTACTAGGAACCCAGGAAAGATGAAAATGGATCCCTAACCTCACATCTCATCCCTTCAATACTATCCAAGTATAAGCAGTATCTGGACAACTGGCTGGTAATACTCAATGACCCTCTAAGGCCAGCATAAGCATTCACTCCAAAATTTTAATTTCATTTAAGTCATCTTATGGCTCAAAGATGTTAAAAAAAGAATAAACACACAGAGTTTTGGGAATGCATAATAAAAACCCACACACAGCGAGACTATTGCTTTTCTAACCTCACAATCAGCACGGCTAGCATACAGCAGTTTATTCCCACTACATCAAAACAAAATTCCAGAGCCTCTGGGCCTGCAAATGTTCCATCAATATGATTCCCTCCTCTTCTGGAGCTCTCCTTCCCTGGGCTCTACAGGGGGCAGTCACAACGCCACACCACCTTGCCTGGTTAAAAGCCTTTTCTTTGATAGTAATTCTTTACTTGCACAAGGTCTTAACTTCTGAACTTAGAAGCCCAGTCCAGTCTCCCCGTTAACCAAGGAAGCTTTCCACGACTGCTCCAACTCTTTCCCCTTCCTTCTTGGCTGAACTCCTGGTGCACTGCTTGTACCACAGTCATATGTCTTATTCTGTTGTCTAATTTTTCACAGGCTTCATTTAGTTAAGTTCTTTCCAATTTAACTATAAATTTCTTGAGGGCAGTCACCACATCCTATTCACCTATCACTACATTCATGAATTAGGGACCCAAGTTTCCTTCTGCACCTAACATTTAAGGAAGACACACCCAGAGAAAGCCATACCTGGACAGTACTTAAATTACTTTGGAAATGATTAGGGTTTATTTGTAAGAAGAAAGGCTCCCTTTTCTATCTATCCATCAAAAACAATTAAGCATTTAAACCCATGAATGACTTACGAAGTCCAACTACTGGAGATCTCTAAGTAGGTACCACTACCTAATTTAATCATGGATTTACATAAACAAATAATAGATTCAGTGATTTCTAAGACGGTATTTTTACAAGGATTTGATAATTCACTTTTGTGTTTTAATGCTCAACATACAAAGATTATTTCATCCTACATTAGAGGTCAATACAATTTCCTTCTTTCCAAAACCAGCTTCCCTCCGCAAAGTTCAGGAAGGACGGCGCATGAACTATTTAACGACAAGAAGGACGCGTATTTCATTTCTCTAAATAATTAACATTAGTAGAAACAATAAAAGTTTATTTCTAAGGTCTAAAGCATATATTCGAGAGTTAAATGTGAAAAAAAAGGCATTCTGTAGTTGAGATGGCAAATCACATACTTAACACTGTTCCATCACCCCCCACCACACACGTGCACAGATGCACACACGTTCACACACGCACCCCTTGAGCACCTTCCTTGATGTACCATTTCACCTAGAACTTGGGTCCTCCACATGTAGAATGGACACAACACTTGCCATCTTTATGACATTGTCAAAGGAATACAGAAAGTATGAAATAACTTATTAAGCAAGTATTTTTAAATTGCTGACCAACAATATCACACCGTAGTTAGTTACCCCCATTTCCGATGTTCAGGACTAGACTGGCAATCCGGAGGTGCCTCTCTACTGCTCATGGGGCACTATATGTTCAAGAAAAGAAAAAAGGCCATTATGAATGAACTCAGCCTTCTTGGGGGAAAGATCCCATAATCCAGTGTTTCTTGAATATGTCTGATTACATGAAGTCCAGGATGTCTGTAAATTATAGATTGTGGGGATTCTCCTCCAGAAATTCTCACTCTGTTATCTAGGAATGAGATTTATGAGTCTGAATTTTTAACAAGGCAACAGCTGATTTTCCTGATCAGACATATTTGGGAAACACTGACCTAACACATTACCAAATCCACAAGGTTTTCTAATTTTAAAAGAACACACAAACAACAATTGTATTTACTCCCACAGGGATGAGGTGGTGGTCCCTGAAACCTCCTCACTGCCAAAGGCCACCAGGCCTGTTGCACACCCTGAGCCAGGCCCAGAGGAGATCTCATCTGGCCAGAGAAGCATTAGACCCTTTCATATGAGAAACAGACTTGTAATTACATGTTATGTGGTACTTTTGCATTTGTTTAGGAGGAAATCACTAAATCTGTGCTTCAACTAGTGACACAATGAACTTCTACTATGATTCTTCATTGAAAATACTATAAAAAGAGACTAATTCTCCTGAGACACTCCCTAAATTTCTGAGAAGCTAAAAGTTTGTGGGTGTTTTGCTTTGGGAAAGTAGAGTACCTGAGAAGCAGATCAACGAGCCAATAGGCAGTGATTAATTAATGAGCACTTACCACTTGGTAAGAAGTTATAAAGCAGTGTGCTTAAACTTAAGTGTGCGGATTATCAAGTGGTAATTTGTTAAAATATAGATTCGGAATCAGGAGACCTAGTGCAGGGCCTGAAATTCTGCATTTCTAACTAGCTGCCAGGTCCACAGCCCACACTAGATTCTACAGGGATTATCCAAACTTTAATGGGCATAAGGATCACAGTGGGGATGTGGTGGTATGTACAACGAAGGTTCTAGGTCTCCATTCCTGGATATTCTTATTAAGAAGGGCCAGCTCCCTTGAATGTGCATTTTTAACAGGGGCCCTAAATGATACAGGTAGCCCACAGAACACACACTGAGAAATACTGCTACCGCACTCAAAAAGACTAATGACGTTTGGTGTTTCTTTCTGAGGAATTTACAGGGTAGGGGAAAGAAGTCTGAGCCAGAGGCACGCTTCAAGGCGGGCTGAGACGAATGAACGCTTGTGAAGAACAGTGCTTACAATCTGCTCTACAAGTTAGGAGATGACATTTCAGGAAGCAAAAGATTTTAAAGTTTTGACCAGCAAACAGTAACTATCAAGTATGAAAACTACAGTTCTTAAGACATACAGGAGGCAGTATCCTCCATGTGACAGACAAATGCCAGGAGGCGGCTTCTCACACTGATATAAGAAGTGGTTTCATGCTAAAGCCAGCTGTCCCTGGTATACGTCTCCTGGTAAATACTACAAACATCCCACTGACTGGCAGGAAGGTGAGACAGGAGAACCCCCGGGCTTTTTCCCCTCACTCCCCCAGGCACTGTCATCAGGGTCAAAGATGACAAAATCACAGAAGTATACAGAAAAAAAAATGAAAGAAAGGTCGTTCCTATGGGCAAAAGGAAAACAAATTTTTGTGGGGGTTTGGGGTGGGGATAGCTAATAAATCTAGCTGCAATCATGTTCATCTGGTGTCTGGACTAAATGCCAGTGATGAACACCTAACTCCAGCCTACTGATTTCCTACTTCTCCTCAACATGACATCGAGCATGTTGCTTGGTATGGTCTGGATGACTTCTCCATAAATGGGAATACCCAGTATGATCATCTGTGCACATCCAACACGAACCACTCATCCCTTCCCGCTTTCTCATAGCTGGACGTCATGGGCCTTGGTTTCTGGCCAGCTGTGAAGAGAGGTAACAGGCCTCTGGGACGCCCACATTTTCATAACTAAGCACTGATGGCTGTAAAATGCATTGTGATCACTGCCTTCCACCCAGTTAAGCTCAACCTGTACAGAACTGCGCGGACTGCAGGCTGGTGGAGGCAGCCCACCACGGAGGAGAGGCAGAGTGAGTGACAGGAGGAAAGGGTGCTTCGCAGGGGATAGTCTGGATCTAGGACTGACTAATAATGGCCTTTGGCCACTGTTTGCTTCATTCCCAAAAAAACAGTTGTTCTTGGAGGTGACATCTTTCTGGGGATGCCTGAAATAATACCACAACTAAAACAATGAGAAGGAGACAAAACACTTCAGAGTAGGTCCAGGCTAACAACAATTTGTGATTCAACACTGCATCTGCTAACTAGTCTGTGTCCCCTTGAGGAAGCCAGAGATTTATACAGTTAACAATTTGATTTTAATAAACAAACAGGTTAAATGTCTCCATACATAAAATTAGCCCTCGACCTCTGGGCAAAAATCTCGTTTCTCGCCTGTTCTCCATTCTTATTGTCAGTATACGCATGCCCAGCGGACTGTGCCCTGCTGGGAGACACCAGGAAAACGGCAGTTCCTCATTCACATTTCCAGGGGGCCTGAGATAATAGCTATTTCCAAAGAGAAAACTGTTTGGCGGGAGGGGAGATAATAACCTGTACCAACCAAAATCTCAACTTCATTCCTGCACAAAGCATTCTTTGACAGAACAACCTTCACATGCCCTGTATCCAAACACCCACTAAATAATGACAGATCCACTCTAGCCTTATGAACAAGCCCCAGGAGTACAGACACTCTGTCAATGGCTGAAGCTAATACCTGACATACGTCATTTTACACATAAAGTTTATTAGATGTTGGCTTAGGGAAAAAGAAGTCCTCAGAGGCTTAAGGCACTGGGATGGCAGGTGTACTGAGGATCTACGGAGCAGGCTATTGAAAGGAGCAAACTGCTATATTGCAGCGTTCAGGGCCTGTTCAAAACGCCAGGATTGGAACACTTCTTTTGGCATGGCAAGAGATTAAATATTCTACCCTCGGGTTTTTAAAGCACTCTTCTTTTAAACAAATGTTAAAACGCTGGCTAGACACCACGCTTATTGATGCTTTCTACCCATTTTAAGACATGTAGAAGGATTCTTACTAAAGAAATATGCTTTCAGCAGTATCGTAAAAGCTTAAGTAAAAATAAGTTTATTCCCAAGTTTCTCTGTTTTTAAATGAAAGGTCTTCCTTAACATTTTTATTGCTTTCAGGCCATGGGAAACCAAATAAAACCAAAGTGACAGACAAATTCACAGCCACATTTACCCATGTTGTTGTAAAAAACTGTGCCAAGCTTTTAGAGCTCTACTTTTTCATAGTCCTGCCGCTCTGGAAATATATATGCAGTATTTTATGCGATGACTTCTCCCCATTCATGTGTTACAAATTCCAAGGCGGGAATTGGGGCTGGAGGCCTGAGCTGGCTGGAGGGAAACCATTCGCTCACCACTTGGGAGTCCCAGCTGGTATCCCAGGTATAGGCCTGGGGTTCTGCTCATACCCTCCAGGGCCTCCCTCCCTACCTAGAGGGGCCTCCCATGGGGGCTGTGCCACCTTCTTCTCCAAAGTATAGTTTTCTAGGTATAAGAAACAAAAGCAAACTGATCAGGTTGAAACCACACAGTTTCCACCAGGATGAAACTATGTCTACTTGGTAGAGAACATCAAATCAAACGCAACTGTCCATCTGTAAATTCTCTTCATGCTGAACTGCTTAATTATTAATTCTTGGGAACGAGCATGCAAGTGATTAAATAGTCTACCTCCAGGGCTTTCAAAGCAATCTGCTCTTAAACAAATATTAAAATGCTGGCTTTTCACTGTAATTTTTTATTGGGAAGTGACTAGACATGACAATCTTAAGTTTTATAATTTTAATCCATTCTCCCACCCCTCATTTTAAGAGGAAAGTTATTTGGGAGAAGGAAACCATGCGTTAATTTATTTTGATGTGGCAACCTGCCTTCCATCTGTGTCCCTTGCAATACCTCTATTTGTTTAAAAGAAAGATAAACTATTCTGTAAAAAGGCTTGGAGCCCTGCTTCTAAACAGGACATCCTAGTTGACTTGCAGTGTAACTAAATGTAAATTATCATTTTTCATGATTTTTCTGTTGAAACCAAACTCTGCCCATAAAACTGCAGCCTCTGGTCCTGAAGGAGTTCTTCCTGAAACAATGGAAAAGTACTTTGGAAGAGAAAGTGCTTAGGAGACTATGAGAGGAGCAGAACCCCCTAGAAGGCAGCCTCCTCCCCCCGGTGAGGCACCTCCTGGAGGCCCAGCTCCTCCCTGCAGGAGGCAGAGGCGACCGCTTTTGCCTCTGACTCCCCCAGAGAGAAGGTGGCATGGGAGGGTGACAGACTTCATGACCTGCTGAGAACTAAGAGCTGGAGGCAGACGGGGCACATCATTCCAGGGTTATCAGAATACGGGACTAAGTCAGAAAAAGGAAGGTCATGCTAGAGATCCCTAGTATTTAAACTCAAAACCCAAGTTTAAAAACACTATGAAATTTTTGCTGTCTTTCACATCGGCCTTTCTCTTACTTTATTTCTTTCCTTTCATTCTCAATTATGCTCCATAAAGCGCTTCTTAAGGAATACATGCCAGACTGGAATACTACAGAAGCCGGAAAATGTGGAATTAGCATTGCTCTAATCACTGTTTCCCCTTGCAAAAGTTACCTGTAATTCTTCTCCAACATTCCTCGCCGGGTGAACAAATATGAAATATAATGTGCCAAATCCCCAATTTCTAGACCGGATTTCAACTCCAGAGGCTGGGCAGACAGATGAAGCAATGGACAGGGAAGTCCTCCTATGAGTACCGTCTCACAGAGTTCTGATAAACTGGATATGGGTTAAGAAAGGAAGAGCACACAGAGTTGTGAACATAAGACCAATCATTTTACTCATGCGTTACTAAATCCTAACCCCAAGTAGATAAATGAGGTCCTGATTCTGCCCCCGTTTTATAGATGAGGAAACTGAGGCTCAAAAAGCTCAATTAACTTATAACAAAATGGGAAACTGACAGAGCTGAGACCGGAACCTTCAACAAGACTTGACTCTTGCGTCCAAGAGCTCCAAACCTTTACCCCCGTTTCTACCCACTGTGCTCACTATACTTTATGCTTTACCAAGTGCTTACCAGTTTTCTACTAACCTCCTCTTCTTCACACACTGCTACTTTCATCTCAAAAAATTCTACACCTGATAGATAAGGTGTCTTGCCTTGAATTTGAGAGGCCACACAATAAAGAAAGTAATGGAAAGAGCTGGGTTTAAGACTATTACTGGAAACAGTAGGTAAGCGATCCCCCTTCCCGTGGTAGGGACGGCACGGGGGACAGGCACTCGGACAGCATCACCTTGCAAGCATCTTGGTGGCTTGTGCCAGGAATGTTATGCTCCATGTTTAAAAAAGGAGCGATGCTCAATGTTACAGCACTAACACAACATGTGAAAAATACCAAATACAGGTTACTCTTCTAATGCGTTACTAACACGCAGCTAACGGTTAAATACTAATATTTTAATTAACAAAAAGAATTATGCAAAAATTACCTAGGACAAGAACACAGATCTAGCTCATTTTTTATGTTTCATGCTGATTTTAATAGTGGGCCCTGTTGTTTAAACCATCTCAGTGTTTTGTGTGTTTGTTTTTCAGAGACCTCTTCCTTCTAACAGTATGTGTATTATCATGGAGAAAATTTAGACACTGAAAGGCCAGACTATAGATTTCTGAGGCAAGAGGGCAACATGAACTAAAAGGCTCTAGAAGGCTCCTGTTTACATCAGGGAGCTCTCTACAATTCATCATGCAGGAAAAAATGTAATCACAGATGAAATACATGACAGTTATAGTAACAGCATTGTTTAAAAACTCCCCCAAATGCTATATACCATTTTCAAAAATGAGGCAGACCTACACTGCTGGTCTGGAAAGATGTCTGAAACACACTTCTAAGAAAGAAAATCAAATGCAGAAGCCATTTTGTATACTGACACCATAAAATTCCGGAAGTATTTATTTCAATCAAAGCTGGATGTTCTTTTACTTTCTAACCTTCTTTACTTACTTTTTTTTTTTAAACACATTTCACTTCTTAAATAATAATTTCTCCTACAAAGTTTTTCCTAACTTAAGACTCTGGACATCTCCCTCTACCTGAGGAAATAATTTTCAGGGATATCCAAGACTGGTGATTTGTAGATCCCAATGGCTGTATAACAAAGGTGTGTCTTTAAATATTGATAAAGACGAACATCCGCAGTCAACGAAGCACTGTAGTTGATATTACACACTTTAGTAGCAATTGCCTGTTTTCTCCAATACATATTTTGTCTTCCCATTTTACATGCTAATTCATTTTCGCTGGGCACACGATTTCCCAAACTCCCTTGCTAGTTAGAACTATGTATGGTACTAAGGTCTGGCCATATGCTGTGAGCAAAAGTGATACCTGCAAGTTCTAAGTTCTGCCCATAAAGGAAGCAAGTCTTCCTTCTTTCCTGTTCCCCAGACGATACCGTGGTGGGAACTGGAGTGGCCCCCTACGACCACAAGATGAAAGCTTCAAAGACGGCAGAGCAAGAAGATAAGAGCCCCTGACGAGTATGGGTCCACCTACCAGGCAGGGACCACTTTTTCAGGCCTTCACATGAGAGAAAAGCAAATGTCTATCGTGTGTAAGCCACACTGTTTTGGCGTTTCTGGAGGCTTCTGCTGCAGTCAGTATCCTACCTAATCAGTGTGCATACACAGATGTGCACACTCTACAGACACATACACAAATACACTGAAGTCATTCTAATGCTATCTAAATAGCATCTCATTTTAAAGTTTATCAAACTGATGACTGAGAAACTAATCTACGGGTATTAAACCTTAAAAGAGAAAACACAGAAGCAGAAAAACCTAAGATACCTTAGTTTCTTCCTTAACGTTCTTAGTTTTTGAGTAGTGAGTTTGAAATGGAACAGCTTCACCCTTCTTGATTTGCTAGCTTTGATTCTTATTAAAAGGAATAAAATGGAAGACTTAAAAAACTGTGAGACTGCTAGAAATAAAATGTACTAAACGGCCAATCCACCTCACGGACAAGCCACAATAAAGGAGAAAGTAACTGGAAGGAAGCATTAAACACAAACTATAAAAATTATCTTTAAAATTAATACCATCCCACATCACTATAATGTGAGGCAGCAACAGGAAAAATCAAGCCTTATTTTAAGGAGGTGATCTTTGGCAATTTTAACCTAACTTTCCAAGTTATTTTTAGTGTATCACACGTTGGCATGTCTTAGCTGATTTCATTGCCTCTTTAACCAAAGTCCTCACACAAATATATTTATAGACAGACTATATATAACAAATGGTAAAGAAATGTTAGGGAGAAAGAAAAATTAAAAACTCCAATATCAGCTCCCTACTTCAGATAATCTATTATTTGTAGGAACTAATGGGTTAGTGATTTACGGGTTAAAAGTGGAATTTATAGTTCTTCAGAGATTACACACAAGCTAACAAAGTAATCTATAAGCTGTTACTTTCCTGAAGTACCTAAATACCCATTTACTTTTGTCAGTATGTCTATTACTCGCAGACATAAGAAGAGCTGACATTTCCCTTGAAATTTTAAGTTTGCTCTTAACAGAGTATACAGTTCCTGCTACCCTGATTGTCTTTTCAAAAGCATACATTATTCTTTCAAATATTCCCACATTCTCCTTTTGGTCAGGCTTTGATCAGATAAATATATTCCCCCAGTAGAAATAGCGTATAAAAATCTAGAGGTTTCATTATTTTCTACTGTAAGAGCTACAATGGATTTTCAATGGATTCTAACAGGATAAAATGTACCAGACTTTCAGGCCAATAATAATAGAGCCATAAGCTTATATAAAACATTTAACCCCACAGCCCTGAACTCAGAAGGCTTCTTCTTTGGAAAGGAAAGCTAAAATCTTAGGAACACTTAAGTTACCTAAAATTTAACATTTTTCTACACTGTCAGATATTCCAGAAATAATCAAGTGGCCACAAAGCACATCAATGGATCAAGGTCGACAGGGTGGCTTTCTGTTCTTAATGTGGACTTAAGCACAGGGGAAGTCAAGGCAGGAGTCAACAACGATGACAAAAAAACATCTCAGAAATTATCTGAAATCTTTGAAATATTCTTAAAAAAAAAAGTGTTCTCTGAGGAGCCAACTGGTAGAAAAGGCATGATGGAGTTAAGAGGAGCACAGAACATTTCCAGCCCACCTAGTTCTCCGTCTTTCATGTTCTTTTACAACTGGAAAAAGGGGTATACTTGAAACTCCAATGTAGTAGTAATACGTCAACAGTGCATATGGTTATATGGTGCTCCCACCATATCCATTTTAAACCACAATGATTTAACTAACTATTCTTATAAATGATATGCCCAAAGTCACAAAGTATAGAAAAAATTCACTTCTACAAGTACCTTTTATATGGTGCTTACAAATGTTTATGGATCCACAAACCCTAATTTACAATTTCAAAGACTAAACATTCGGAAAGCCTCAAGATATGTATGTTCATGACCTATAGGGATATATAACTATTTATAGCTTTAATTTATACCACTTTAGTAATTATTCATTTTATTGCAAAAATATTAATGTGCTTAATTACTAAAGTGCCACCTCTGACCTCACTGGGGATATTGTGTTACCTGTGGGTTATGTACTGTGTTACCTTTTAACATCTGGAAGATTTTGAAGCACATCTGGTCCCAAGGATTTCTGATAAGGAAGTACAGACCTGTGTAATTCAGTCACTCTTACCAGACCCTAGAGATGGGAGCTGTTGGCATATAAGGGACATGAGGGTTAAGGAGCCTGTCCAAAGTCAAAAGGCAGGGATCGGGACTCAGGCAGTGCAGAGCCTGGATGGACCCTCATCACTACACTATGCAGCCCTTTCTATTTACATCATTCAGATGAATGGGGTCTTTCATTTTCTAGCCATAATCACCAAAATTAATTATGCATGGCACTTAAAAATATTTTTAAAACCATAGTTACACTTTAGAAAAGGCAGTTAAGTGCTGCATGTCAAGGGAAAACAGACTTTGGACAAACTCATCCTAATGTCTTAAAAAATAGCATCACCCTTGCTCCGGATTGGAGTTGAAACTTTAAGAGTAATTAAGCTGCATAGTTAAAGCCATGCAACTGATAAGGAACAGAACTAAGGTTCAAAATTAAGTCAAATTCTGGGACCAATACCCCAAGTTATTAAACCAGACCTTCCTTCAGAATTTTAAAAAAGCAAATAAGAATGCTAATTACAACACTAATAAGTGATCAGTTTCCTATCTGTTTCCATCCCAAGTGCCACAATATCCAGGAAAATGTATATGCCCAGCAATCGGGATTGGGCTACTAATAAGGAACAGGACTTCAGAGAGACAAGTATCATAGCAAAAAGGAACTGTGTAAAGAAGAACTTGCCTCAGGAAATGGCTGCACTGCTAGATTAGAGGTGGCAGGATCTACTGTAGGATGATGACTATAGAAAGGGAAAATTTTTTCTTTTAATTTCAAAGAAGCAGCAATGGGATATATGGAATAAAGAGAAAGAAATCCAAAAAAAAACCTCCCACAGTTTTGGGGGTCTGGTGGGGGAAAACACAGGGCTACTAACAGTGGCCAAGAGCATCTAAGTCACCTTACCAGTTTGTTTAAATTCAGGCTCCTGGAATTTGGGTCCCGCCCAATGGCCCAAAGCAGGCAGTCAACATCTGGAATCATGGCCAAGGTGGGCTTCCTACCAGGGACCAAAGTGACCATGCAGACTTCCAAGCCGGAGGTAGTCTGACTTCCTTGACCTATTGGCAAATAAAATGTATTGGCTGAGGGGGAGGGTGGGAGGAAAGAAAGGAAAGAGGAAACTAGAATTTTTAACATTTAAAAACTTCCCACTGAATCCATGTGAATGGTACTCGCTGACACATTTACTTTTTGCTCAAAGGTTACCAACACTACAATTCCTAAGGGCCCAGAATGTTGCCTAGGTTGCCCCAAATCATCCAGCCAATGGCCAGAAATGTCAGTGCGTGTCACCATTCTTCCGGTTCGGTGACTGATACCACGCGGAAAGCCATCCCACGAGCGCCAGTGGAACATAAGGACCGAACGGGAGCCCATCGCTGAGCCCAGCCAGAAGCTCCCCGCCAGCAAGATGGCGGCCAGGAGGCCAAGCAACCGGAAGTGCAGCCATGCACCTGACCCACTTCCGGCCCGCGGGCGGGCCCAGGGCAGCAGAGTGACTGGGTCCAAGAGAAAGGCTGGCAGCAAGATAAGGAAAGGCCCCACCGTGAGCAGAACAGAAAGCACTGCAAAGAGGCACAGGGTGCAGGGCGTAATTAAAGTGGGAGGCTGACTAGTTCAGAAAGTTTGCAGACGCAACATAAAGCGCCAAACCCACGTGCTGGGGCACAGGAGAAAGGAAGCCCTCGCCAACAAGAAAAGCAGCAGTGCAAAGCATCTTTGGTGTGTTTTTTTTTTCCATTTTCGCTTAATTGTGCCTATATCACCAGAGGCGGGGGGGCATCTGGCTCTCTAAAGAGATCCCAAAAAATACTGTTAAAATTGTTAGTCTTGGCACTTCTCCAAAGAGGAAATTCAGATGGCCAACAGGCACATGAAAAGATGCTCCACACTGCTAATCATCAGAGAAATGCAAATTAAAACCAGAATGAGATCACCTCACACCAAGGATGAACAACATCCAAAAGACAAGGAACAACAAATGCTGGTGAGGATGTGGAGAAAGGGGAACCTTCCTATACTGTGGGTGGGAATGTAAACTGGCGCAACAGTTGTGGAAAGCAAAATGGAGGTTCCTCAAAAAACTGAAAATAGAAATACCATTTGACTCAGTCATTCCACTCCTTGGAATTTACCCAAAGAAAACAAGATCCCTCATTCAAAAAGACATACCCACCCCTATGTTTATTGCAGCACCATTTACAATAGCCAAGATATGGAAGCAACCTGTGTGTCCATCAGTAGATGACTGGATAAAGAAGATTTGGTACATATACACAATGGAATATTATTCAGCCACAGAAATAAAACAAATCCTACTGTTTGCAACAACATGGATGGAGCTAGAGGGTATTATGCTAAGTGAAATAAGCCAGGCAGAGAAAGACAAGTATCAAATGATTTCACACATCTGTGGAGTACAACAACAAAGCAAAACTGAAGGAACAAAACAGCAGCAAACTCAGACTCTGAGAAGGGACTAGGGGTTACCAAAGGGGAGGGGTTGGGAAGGGTGGGGAGGAAGGGAGAAAGAAGTGCACTATAATTAGCACTCACAATATAGGTATGTCATCCGGGAAGGCAGTACAGCATGGAGAAGACAAGTAATGACTCTACAGCATCTTACTATGCTGATGGACAGTGACTGCAATGGGGTGGGGGTCTTGATGATAATATGGGTGGATGTTGAAACCACAATGCTGCTCATGAGAAGCCTTCCTAAGATTGTATATATCAATAATACTTTAAATTTTTTTAAAGAGCAAAAAAAATTAATAGTCTTGGGTCAGAAATATCACATGTTCTCCTATCCAAGTTTACTTGATTCTCTGATATGTGTATATGAGCCAGATTATAGTTATTTCTGATACATATTAAGAGCATACAAGAATTTTAAATTACAACAAACTTACAAACATTAAATTTTTTTCTCTTTAGGTTTTTGGAGGGTTCTTTTTTCAGATTTTTCAGCAAGGAAGCATTTAGGCATTATGAAGGGAAAAGTGAAACCCTGGAAGGGGTTGAAGAGATCCACCTCCTTATCCATCTTCCTTGACTGACTGTATAGTCTGGGGTATTTCCATTAATGGGCAAGAAATATCCCGTCGCACTAAGTACACCTGTGATTTGTAAACTCTTATGACATGAAAAACACTTTCCCCACAATCTGTTCCAGTGAACTTTACTTTTTTTTTCTTATCAGCGTAACAGTTAATCAGCCAAGTTGGAGATCTGCAGTTTTAGCTACCATAATATAACGTTCCACTGTTTTTTCTACCTAAGCTAAAAAATCCCATACAGGCTTTGCTGAAAAACAAAACAAAATAATGATACTCTGCAGCAAGCCTATTAAAAACAAGTGAAAAAGAACAATTTCAAACTGCAGCTTTTCAGACTGCACACAAACCTCTTATTTGTGCACCCTTTGGGACACTGCAAAATTATTTGATTATAGTTAGTGTTAAAAACTTGACAATTCCTATCTAGAACAACAGAAAAATCACAAGTGTTGCTAAAGAGGCAGAGAAATTGGAACCCACTGTTCTACACTGTAAGTGGGAATGTAAAATGGTACAGCTACTATGGAAAAAGTGTATGGTGATTCTTCAAAATATTAAACAGAATTACCATATGATCTAACAATCCCACTTCTGGGTATGCATACAAAAGAACTGAAGGCAGATCTCTTGAAGAGGTATTTGCACACTCATGTTCTCAGCAGCATTATTCACAACAGCCAGGACATGGAAGCAACGCAGGACAAATGAATGGACAAACAAAATGCAGTCTATCTCCACACCGGAATATTATGCAGCTTTGAAAAGGAAGAACGTTCTGACAACTGCTACACCATGATGAACCTGAGGATGTTTCGTAAAGTGAGGGAAGTAACAAAAACACATAAGTAGACAAATTCACAGAAACAAAGTGGAATGGTGGTCGCCTGGTTCCTACAATGGTGGAAGGGAGGAAATAGGGAGTTGTTTAATGGGTATTGAATCTCTGCTCCGTGAGAAGAAATGATTCTGGAGATCTGTTGTTGCACAACAACACAAATACACTTAACACGACTGAACTGTACACTTAAAAATGGATAAGATCGCAAATTTGGGTTTTTTTTTAACCATGATTTAACAAAGATTTTAAGTTGTATAAAAAAGGAAACTGACTATTAGCAAGCGATAAGCAAATGGGAGATTAGGAAAAACTTTTTTCTCCTAACTTTCAGAAAACATCTTCAGAATATCAGATTTTCCCACCACATTCCCTGAGACATGCACTGCAAAGTCAGCCCATTTAAGGTTCTCTTAGGTGCTACACGTTCCTTATAAATCTTGAATCAGTGCCTCAACATCATTATGCTACCCTGAGAAAAGGACTCTTGAAGGAGAAGATTTTGCTTTATAAACTATCAAAATTAATACTTCACTTCTTAGAAATGCCAATTCATGACTCTTCCACTCAGCTGTAAGATTCAACAGGAAACCTGGAAGAAAGAGAACATCCTTTCCTTTTGGTTCTGTGATCAAAGAGATTTGCTTTTGATACAGAAAGTTTATCCTCCCAGACATTATTTCTTGAGTACTGTGACACAGCTCACATTAACTTCACCTTCATGAACTTCATCTAGAATAAAAACGGTACTAGTACTACAGTTACTGCAGTATTTTTGATGCTTGCAAGAAAATGCAGGTATTCATCTCTCTGCAAACATTTAAGACCGCATTTTCCTATTTCTAGCTCTGGAGACAACACAACCTTGGCATAAATAGCCATCTAATAATATCATTAATGCAAAGAGGAAGAAAAACAAAAAGGTAGAATACTATCTATCCTTGAAATACCTGTTCTTTCTCACCCTCCCATGTGTTAGGATAAAGAACTAAATCCCAACTGCAGAAGTACATGGTGATTCTTATGTTCCTCTGTGAAAGGTGATCAGTTACATTTTGCTTGAACAAGTGTTTCCTTGACCAGGTCACTTACTTAAAAGTTTCAGGTGAATGATCATCTACAATTGCTCTCTTACAACACTAAACTATGTTTTCTACCTTTATTTTGCATCTACCTACCACTTCAGCATTTTATTAAAAATTAAAATAATAATAATAAAGGGAGAAATGTGGGATCCACATATAAATCAAGTATAAAAATCAAACGAATATTCATATTTGACCTGTTTATAGTTCATAATGTGTGATCAAAACCGAAAGTTTCTGTGATGACTGCCCTTGTACTGTTCACCATGTAAGAACTTATTCACTATGTAAGAATTCGTTCACCATGTAAGAACTTGTTCGTTATGCTTCAGAAGATTGGAGACTGACAAGAATTAGGCTTGAGATGGATTAATGATTGTGCATTGAGCATTGACTCCCCTATACAGAGTTTTATTGTTGTTAACAACCATTTGATCAATAAATATGAGAGATGCCCTCTCAAAAAAAAAAAAAAGTTTCAGCTGAAATGACATTCTTGGCTGCTCTCCTTTTCCTGACCCCTTGCAATAATGAGCATGTAGTTATCAGTCCACTGCACTGCACAGGTAAGACAGAAGGGACAAATCCATTTAATTTTATTCAGTATCTGATAAAGGCTATAGTGACCATTCCGAACACCTGGAAAGAAAAAGGTAGACAAGTAGCTTGCTCAGAAACTTTAGACTATTTAAAGAACCCTATGGATTAACTGTTAAAAGCCACCAGGCTACATATCAGCAAAGGAAGAGGAAGATGGGAATGAATAACAACATCTAAAATTGTGCTCTGAGACAAACTTGCATAATAGATCATTTAAGTAAACACAACAGTTTTTTTAAAAGCATGCAAAGAGAGTTCAACACAAAATTATTCTGATATGAACTTGCTTATCCAAATGGCAGGCTCTAATATGATCCATTTTAATGTTTGACCTATAATCCTGGCAACTCTGGGTCAAACTGCTACACGTATCACGACAAGAACTGCAAACATACACATTCATCACTTACTCAATTATTCAGGAAACATTTCTAAGCGTCCATGAGCAAGGATCACTGCCAGTACAAAATCCAATCCAAAGTATTCAACACAAAGAACACGTATCTTTCTTTTTAAGATAAGAAGAGCAAATGATAACTGCATGAAAGAATGCAAGGTTGCTAGGCAAGCTGTGGCAAAGTGACACCCCAGCCTTGGAGACTCAGGGAAACAAGGTGACCCGGGCTGGGGAAATGAGTGTCTTCTCAGTGACAGTAATGTTAGACAAACGAAGGCGGTAAGGCCAACTACTTCTGCATAACAAG